TGCTTACACGGCAAGTAGATAGCTGATTGATTAAAATGACCGTCGATCTACTGCCGAATCCATGCTGTGCTTCCGCCCGTTCTCTCCGTTCGAAACTGTGTGTACGCTCAGCCGCTAACAGGGAAACTGCATTTCCGCGCAGCCGGCGGTCGAAACGATGAAAACTTTATTACTCGCTACGGACGACGATAAAACGGATCTGGCTGTGGCCTGCAGCACACTGCTCTGCGAAAGATCCAGTAAATTTCCGGATCGCGGCGAATCGATGAAAAGTGAATAGCCGACACCGCGCGTGGGATATCTAATATTTGGATATCATATAGACTTGTGTCAAGATAACTGAATGAAAAACTAGTTGGAAAAGTAAGCGTGAGTTATCGATGGATCCTGATTCTCCTCTCTCCATCCTTACGCAAAAGACCTTATAAGTTGTTCTAACATTCATAAATTATGTTATGCCGTGTTTTGATTAATAGATTATTTAAACGTTGATAGATTTAAAAAAATAATAAGTAATATAAAATACGTATACCTATTGTAAACTCTTTTATTTTTAAGAGGAACTTCAATTTGAGGTTTGAAATGAAAATAATTTTTTCAAGAAATGTGATTTGAGATTCTTAATAGAGCTAGAAATGTAAATTATTGAAAATTAGATTTTACAGAGAAAAAATAGATTATAAATTTATTATAAAGATAGATGTAATTTCTAGAATTTCGTATATTCTTGGATTTTATTCGACAACTATTTGCATCATGTATGCATGAGAATATATTCGGCTGCAATGTGTTATAACGGATTATTTTAGCATGAAATAGATATTTAAAAAAGTTGACGGGGAGGAAACATTGCGTAATATCCCTCAAAGGAGATATTTTCAATATTGCTCTCACGAATCGGAATATATTTATAAAAAATGCGGAGATACATGCTCGGAGAACACGGAGTGCATCTATTTCTCCAATTCTTGTCTTCCATTTTTCCATTTTACGAAATACGAATTGAATTCTATTTTTATTACATAACGGACGTTTTTATTCTATTCTTTTTTTTTCTTTTCGGTAGATTGATTCGTACGGATCGCAGCATGTGCGTGACACAAATATAATAATCGTATATGTTAACTAATATTATACAATTTTTTTACATTTTTTTCTAATAACCAAGCATGCAGCGCATTTTCAACAGCACATTTAATATGACATATCCAGCGACAAAAATATATTCGTAGTACATATTATATAAATAAAATGTACAATTAAAATATACAGACATTTATATTAATTAAATTTACTCATTATTTTAATGCATAAAATAAACGTTCACAAAGTTACCAGCATTCGACCCCCATTTATTTTTTCAACTTTATTATACCCGGTCTACTTCGATGCTACGGTGGTCAGCAACTCGAGATTTTCTCGCGGAATATTTTCTAAAACGTTCACGAGAGACATGGCGTCATGTAAATTTTGTAAACCATAGGGAGCGTAACTCATTTATGAGACACGACGCGACATGGAAGATCGAGTGCAATTCGAAATTGCGGACCGATGAAACATGAAACTGGCCGTGTCACGGCAGACATATAATATTTGAATATCGTACAAATGACTTGCACATTGCTCGGATAATCGAGACATCCGAGCGAAACCGTTCTGGCCGTAGTCTATACGCGGATTACTATTCACGGCAGCCAGGGATTTTCATTCTCTATTTCAGCCCGCAATAAACCGAACGAGCTCCCATCGACCAGATTTTTTCGATTGGTAAATGGTTGAGACTGGATCGTGAAGTATTGCCCCAAATATTGCCAATTACAGTAAACGTTTTGTACGCTTTAAATCTTCACTTAAAGACTGTTGAAAATATAATGTAATAAATAATTAATGCGGGGTTATTAAACGAGCTATTTAATTGCTTGTATTGCTTATTTATTTTATGAAAAAAAATGTCTTAAAATATATCTATTTTTATCTTCCGGCCGTGTAACATATTTAAAGAGATCTTGTTATTTTTCTATACGAAGGTTTTGATATATCGGATATTGTTGACGATTTACGATGAGAGCGAATCAAAGGGATCTTTTTGATGTCTCCAGCAGAAGAAACAGTTCCCTCATGAAACTCTCTTCGTCTTGTTACATCAGTTTTGTCTTCCGAAATGTCTTGCCTGACTTTCTCTTTCTCATGTCCATCCTACTTTTGCGATTCTTTGACATTCAATTTGAACATCGAAACTTTCAAGAATCTGAGAACGTTAACTTTTTTTCTCGATTTGTTTTATTACTGCGGCTGAGAGGACGAGATGAGAGTGGTAAGCCCACGGGGAAATGCCTATCGCGGATGGAATGATAAAACGTAAAAGTCTGATAAAGGAGATAAAACGTGTCGCGTTACACCAATGTCATATAATATGTAACGTTGCGATTTTTCTCCGCAGAAAATACTTAGGAAATATATTCCAAAAAAAAAAAAAAAAAAACCCGTAATAATCTTCCGCGCTTTTCGTAGATGATGAAGATAGTCGCCGTGTATAAACAATATGTCGTTTTTTGAGATAACGTCGCCTTCAACCGGGGAACTATCCGCTCCCGGCGGGCGTATGTTTCGTTGTTACGATTTTTCATATCCTACAAAGAACATTTTGCGAGTGTATTCCGCACGAAGCGGGAATGAATCTAGCTAATGTGTTTTTACTGACTATGACGCACTCCGACCTCCTGCGTCATGTGAAGTGAGGCTGATGTGCTCTCGCGTTAATTTGCTCCAGATGAGAGGAAGATATTCCTCTCTGGAGAGGCGAGAATAAATGTATGTAACCCGGATATTAAGAATTCCTGACGAGAATTATGCAAACATTTTCATACCCTTGTCCACGTAGGTGTTGCGCAAATTCTCTCCACTGATTTTCTTTCCGAAAAAATACCCATATACCACCCAAGTAGCACAGCAGCGCTTGCAAAGCACTAAAAAAGCGATTACATGCGCTTTTTTAGCGCTTTGTTAACGCTTTGTAAGCGCTGTGTGTTACTTGGGTAACTATTCTAAAAGATCTTAAAGGGTGATACCTCATACAATTTTAAGATGAAAACTTATATAATCATATGTCTGAAACGGTTTGATTTCACAGACACCAAGTGTCAAAGTGTGTTGAAGGAAAAATTTGGTTCTTTCCAAAAATGTCTTTTAGCGAATATTTAGTATTCACTCTGTATCTAGTAAATCGGTAATTGCAAAAATGTGTACTTTACATATTCTCTTTATCGTGAAACGATATTATTGGGCAAATAGAAATAGTGTAATTTTCATTCTTAAAATATATCTCTTTTTGTTGTGAAAATCTCTTTTATATTCTATCAACTGATATTTCGGGAAAAATGTTCTGCTGTCGAAGGGAAGGGTGAACATGCTTTTGAACGGATCTTTGAAGAGCGAAGAGTTGTTCACTTTCAATGAAGTTTACAGGATATTTTGCCTCCCTTACTGTATACTATTTTTTCCTCCCCAATAGATCCGAACGTTATCGTTCTTCTGTGCGCCTCGCGCGGAGCATACTCATCCCCGAGCGAGTTTAATATTACAAAACAGAATTGCAGACGGTGCACCGGAAGTCGACCGGCCCAAGAGGGCTGTCCCCGATGCACCATCGTCTCTGTTCCTTCTGCATCCCGGATGATGCACCGGTGCCGGGGATTTGCAGTCGCAGCTGATACTGCCGCTCGGCTGCAGCATATGAGACTCCGTATGACTCGCTGAAAAATGCAAAGTGCAACGCGGTGTCCTCCGAACACGACGCGATATCCGTCCGAAAGAAAACAATCCGTTACAATGCAAAATTATGCAGCGGCATGCCTTCGCGAAAATATAGATATTAAACCGTTGCTGGAGAAGCAAGCTCCTATACTTTTCGAGAGCCATTTCATAAAATGTCTGCAATGTATAGATCCAGCGAGACGAAGGTAAAATTTGCTTAACTTTCCGTGGGAGAAGTTTTACGATCGATCCTTCAATAAATAAAACTATAAGGAAAGATGGATTATTATATAAATGTTTTTATATTATTTTTACGTTGATGCATCGTGCAATATTTAACGTAACGTTTTTACCTTTCCTTTTAAGATATAATTCAGTTGAAATGTTAATTTTCTCTTTTTATTTGCAAGCGAAGATAAGATCGGGCTTTTCGTAGTGAAACATTTCGTGTATAATCTCGTGTACGTCTGCCAGATATTCGTCGTTTCTTCCTTTTTGAAAGCCGTTTTAATATTACGTCCGTGCAGTCAACTCATATTAGTAAGTCGTAGCTCATTGCCGTAAATACCCGTAAATCTGATCGCGTTTGCATGGCGCAGCCAGCAACGAGTTAACGTTGTTCCGGGCATTTATAACTTGCTCCCCTTTCGCGGTGGTAGGACGATATAGGTAAAGGGGTAGTTTACTGCCTGTGTTAACCACCAGAGAAGCAGCTACTTTTCTCATCGTAATCTTCACGTTATCTCCCTAATTCCCGGCATTTGTATAAGCACAGTATATAAATAAACGTAGTAAATCACCCTATTTGCAAGCACATTATACCTCCACCTCTTCATTTAATTTTAAGCGTATACATCCTGGAGTTTGTGAATAACCTGTATAAGTACAAAGATTAATTGCAGTTAATTGCGCTTCGATATTCATTCTGTTAACAGAATCGTGAGCTCCACCTCGTACGCTTTAACTTTTTCCCACGATAAATTTAACCGTTGGCGCGCGAATAAAAATACGCGACGCGACGTGATTAATTTACTTGTGCAACATACGCTGGGCTTTAAAAGCATTCGATACAAGGGGCACGTTCGAATGTCATCAAATATCGGATTTCTCCCATGTATCGATGTTATTGACTTTGTAGATAAAATTTCACGTGGCGTAGCCGTTGGCAAATGTAAACTCAAAACTATGCGCTATTCTGCACGCTTGATGATCATTGGGGTTAAATATAATTAAAATTTTTGTTCCAGATCGAATAGCCGCCGCGTGAAGTAGAAAGTTTCGAGGACTTTGAAATAGACATGTGCGTCAAGGATCAATTGGACGTTGTTCGCCAATGACATAGGGTGAGTCAATATCACGTTGAATTTCTATTGGCGTACAGATTTTTTTGTACACAATAAATTGTGTTTCGGACGTCGAGCGGTCATCGATGTACTTATCGATAATACACTTGCTCTTCGACAATGTTTTATTTACAATTACATGCCTTGGCAAAAAAAGCACCCTTACAAGTTGACATAAACGTTGTATATCTAATGAAAAATAAATTTATAAAGTTTTATTGAAATTTATTAAAAAGTAATATTTATTTTATTGAAAAATAAAATTTTTATTAAAAAGTAATATTTGTTTTATAACATTTTAATATTTTATATTAGTTTTTCTTTGTTTTCCCATATTTGATTTTATTATCGCCTTTTATAAGAAAATGAAATAAATTGAACGTGCTTTATATTTATGACTGTATCTTTGATAACGACCATGAATAATAATAAATTCTTTTTTGTATTTTATTAATTGTTTGGCGATTTAAATGTGAAAGGATATAGCTAAAATTTTACTGTCAGCAATACGTATACAGAGTATACGTATGTCTATTTTATATATTGTCAGGAGAATACGTGCGACATATTATATTTCTCTCAGAGCCCCACGCGATTTTCTGCCTTTTTCGATACGGTTGATCGTTTTCAAGGAAAATCGAGAGAAAGATAGTTACGAAAATGCAACGTGCAAAGGTAAAAGGGAATACATTCTGAACGTGGCACAATCGACATGCATTACGACGCGCGATCTGTTTGCGCGACCATAAATGGCCACGCTGGCGCATGCCGGCGGATACGGTTTCTCAATAGTTTCTCAAACCATTAGGTGAAAGGTCCTCTTCTAGGAGAGACCCTCCCATCTTAATTTCGATCTCTCTTTTCATTAGATCTGATTAAAACCGATACTTCTCTCGACAACTCACGCGATATATTGATACATTGAAAGAAAAGTTTAATAATGCACGGAAAAAATGATTTTAATAAAGTATTTAAAAAAATTTAGTTAGATCTAAAAATAATTTTGTTGGACTATAAAAATAATTAGCGAACTCAAACACGATGAGTAAAGCTGTATAAAGTTTTGACATTCAAGTAACCAGCTTGAGTGTCCTACGCTAATTGTTTTAAAAATTATTTCCAGATGTATCTAACTAATAAGTTTTAGTAAAATCGGTTTTTTTTTTACTAGTTATCAAATGTACTTTATTTAGCGTATTGACAGAATATTTAAATATTATAATAAATAACTAAAAACATAATGGTAACTAATCATTTGATAATTCGAAAAATAAGATATTTACAAAAAGTAAAATTAAGTTTAGTTTTGATGATATGCTAATAAACGAAATTATTTCACCAAAGCTCCGGTACTGTTATCTATAGGCTCGATTATTCTTACCAGACTATTATTCAGTGTACACGCGATATATAATTATACACAATTTATTTCGCTCATCGCCGTGCGTTCTCGTTGCCCCGCATGAAATATGAAAAGTGACCCCATTAAAGCTTCTTCCATGAAACGTCACAAGGTTCCAGATCCTTTGTATCGTCGTTAAACGGAATAACGGGTTGAACCGTCTCGTTAAGCGGTATTCCCAGCGATTTAAAAGCCCTTGTTGAAAAAGAGATCACGACGGCACGCCGCGCCCTTGGAATTTCCAAAGATTCTTACAAGCGCAAATTCCAAAGAAATCTTGTAAGAATTTTAAGGAAACAATGCGTGTATAAAAGACCTATAAATTATATTATACGTGTAGAAGGAAATAATAGTTTCACGAGAAACTATCGCGTGTGCGATATATTTAATATTCTTTTTAACAAGTGCCAGAATTGCAATATAATCGTCTGCTTCTTTCAGATTCTTTGCGCTCGATATCTCTCTAATGTGCTCATTTATAATGCTGCGCGAATCGATATTATATATGTTTATCGCTCTCGTGCGCTATTTTCCGCTCACTGCGGGTGCTGTGCGGATAACTAATTGGCCGAAATAACAGTCGCTAGCTGCGCGTTATATCTCGCGGAGGGCCATTCGGGACTCGCCTTGGCGCGCTTCCACCGTGGAAATCGACGGGCAAAAGTGATTTATCGATTGAATTCTAATTTCCGGGTCTGCATAACTTTTATCTACGCCGCAGCGTAACGAATCGAATCGGACGATGTAGAAGGCGCGTCGCGAATATTATCGTCGCACGACTGTGGGCATGGCCCACAGCGTTCTTTTTTTTACGGCACTACGCGCCAATCCATCCACGAAATTTTCGGATAAAAAATGGCTTTTGCGTTGTTACGCGCGGCAGCTTTCGACGTCGGACGCGCCGGTCGCAATTTGTTGCGAAAAGCACCGTGACGCTAAATATTTCGCTTGTTAAAGCGACGAATAAAATTGTCGGATAAATCCTAAATTTTCCACAGATGGTACCAGAGTTGCGCGCGATAACTATTTGTATGGGATAGTTTTTTCACAGGAATTCTACATCTGCAGCTTTACAGTCGACAAAGGTATACGTTGTCGCGATTTTTTCCGTCGCATTTTTCGTATGCCTTCCGCACGGGCAGACTTGTGACTCTTTTTTTTTTTTATTCCATTTCCGATATCGTTTGAACAAAAGCGATATTTTTCTCTATTTCCCCGCAACGTCATAGCGAAACACAAAGAGTGGCAGTTCTGGAATTCGTTTTCAATTTGCGGACGTCAACGGCCAAATTGGACGTAAAACTTCGCAATTGATTCGTTCTTTGTCTACGGTGAATCTGATTTTATCGGAAACATGGTTCACTTGCAATATTCGTTCTCTTCCAGTAAATTTTATACATACATAATTTTACACGTGAAAATAAAAATAGAAGCGACGCTCTCGTATATCTCTAATATTGCTGTATTTTCTTAACTTTTGTGACAAAATTATTCATGTCAAAAGGACTTACGCTTGTTACATTAAAAGAATGACTTCAGTCAAATTGGTTGAAACTGTGATATTTTGTAGATTATAAGATGCTGTTCAAAAGTCTCTATAGGCATATTCATAAAAAATGGACAGATTTTGTTATTATAGCACCATTTGAAAACTACTTCGGGTCTAATTGAACTAAAAAAATCTTGATCCATTAAATTCATTTTTTAATAACTGAATTTTAATACTTTTAAAATGTACAGAATAAAATATGAATCTATTGGTATAAAGAAAACACATAGTTGTTTTTTTGTTTAAAAATATGTAAATTGTATATTGTAAATTGTACAATCTTTTTTAAAAGCAACTGTGTTTTCTTTACATCAATTGATTCATCTTATTATTCTGTGTAAATGTCAAGTTTAAGGTACCGTTATCAACAAATGAATAATTTAATAGAAAAAGATCTTTTTAGTCTGATTAAATAGCAACTAATTTGTTGCAACAAAATCTATCCATTTTTCATATAATTGCTTATAGAAATTTTGGATCAGCAGCTCCTAATTTACAAAATATCACAGCCAATTTGTTCGAAGCCACTTTTTCCATACGATTAACGCGAGAATTTTACTAATCAAACAATTACGATTTAGTCGTAATAACGATGATAATTGATGAAGACGTTAATATTATTCAAAATATTGTCCCGTTTCTATTATTTCACCTACATACGTCGGTACATATCGGTGGCCACGATATACGGCATGGGATGTTAATCAAGAGAAGGACAAGCACAACAAACCTGCTGGCGCCGGTTTCTACCAATGTGCTCTCCGTCTCCGTCAACATAGTTCACTTGTACACGCGCGAATCTCACACAGACCTTCCGTCCGTCGCCGCTAAATTATAGACTGCCGTGTGCATATTTTCTTCCATGCATATTGCATATGGATAACGAGGGACACCACCGTCGCCATCGCCCTCATTGAGCGTCCGAGCGTCGTTCCACGGAAGCAGCTACCGCGACACGCAATATGTCACGATTCGCACGAGATCTCGCACTGTTGTGTCATTCTCTTTGTCTTTCTTTCCCCCCTCCCCCATCTCTCTCTCTCTCTCTCTCTTTTTCTTTCAACATTAGGCTGCTTCGAGTATTCAGCAATCACAGAGAAAGAGAGAGAGGGGGGGGGGGGAAGTCGCTAAGAGAGAAAGATCGAGATTTTTCCACCCAGACTCCACTTCCTACTTGGCTTCTCTTCAAGTCGAATCATCATCTCGAGAAAATTCTCCGCCTCCGTTCTTTCTATCCAGCGCGTGATGGGTCGTTTTTTGCTAAGCAGCCTCGGTCGTTCTTACGGAGTCGCGAAGCCAATCTCTAAGTGCAAGTTACACTTAGAGAACTTTGAAACAGTAACGAAATCAAGTTAGAGAGAATAAATACGAGTGAGAGCGTTGTGTTGGAAATTAGAATGCAATATAATCTATCGATTACAAAGAAAGATTTGATATTTATTTGGTTTTTTTTTCTATATGGAAACTTGTTCGAAATAATGCAACAAATAAAAAATTGACTTTGTTGTCTACTAATTGCACCTTATTATGATTTATCGCTTCTTAATATCTTTTATGGCTCAAAATGGTAGCGTATTTCGTGAGAAAAACAGATGAAAGAGCTAATTTTAAAAATAATAGATAATAGATATTAAGTCACTCATTTCGTATGAATGGATTTGATCGTATTTTTACGAGAATATCATGAACGAAATTAGCGTGAAACATAATCTATCACAATTTTGCTTGATGATAAAATAACTGGTAGCGAACAGGGAAATTAATCATACGAGAGAGGGAGAAAGTAGTTCAAGTCAGATGTTCTTCTGAAGGGACTTGGTCGTTTCTTTCATTTTCTGCTCTAGCTTGTTACTGCAGCTCCACAGTTTTTGCGGGTACCTACTCTTCTTGCCACTTCATGGGGTTCTTTACTGTCCGTCCCAGTCATCTCCCAAGTATACTCGAAGACATTGCTATTTGTAACCTACGTAGTTAGTGCCGGCGAAGTCTTAAACAAAAGCGAATTGCAAATTCCCGTGTTTCTAGCTCGGTAATTTGCGTGTCTGAAGG